GTGTCGGGTATTTACATCGCCAAAGACAAACCCTTTGAAAAATAAAGTAAAGCGACAAAAATAATTAAATGTCCTATTTAACTATTACAATCCATAAGCAGATACATAATTGGATAAAAATAAATAAAGCGCGCGGGAAATAGAATCGAGTGCGAAATAGGGTTTTGACCCTTTTGGTTAAAAAACATGTCTTTTTGGTTTTTTTTTGTTTTTAAATTAAGAAAGAAATTAAACCTAAATTAAAGAACTAAATCAAATTAATAAAATAATTAAATGAAAAATAAATTATTTTTGGAGTTTTTGATTATTTAGGAAAGAAATTAAAAATGATTAAATTAGTGGTTAATATCTAATTAAATCTAATTAATTAAAATTATTTACAAAATCAATTAAAGTTTTCTAATTAAAACCTAATCAATTAATAAATTTATTAAGAAAAATAAAAGTTTAAAATTTGATTGAAATAATTTTTTTTTGTGATTTTATTTAATAAAAACAGAATTTTGTGATTGGTTATAAAATTAAATAAATAAAATAAAACAAAATAAAATAAATAAAAGAGAAAGGGGTGTTGGGCCTGATTTGAGGTGTTGATAGCAATTCCATAGGCCCAACAATGCTGGCTTGTTTTGACTATCTGGGATCCAGTGGGGGCGCATTGACTTGACTCCATATGGACCTCCAATCATTGACTACCAGATCTGGCCTTTGGCCGTCTGGCGCTTGGATGGATGAGGGACTATGGTGGGTTGCAAGCTTGAACATGCATTGAATCACCTGAAAAATATGAAGAAAACACAAATTGCTGGAGGCAAGGATCGAACCCCTGACCTCCAGCCTTTGGATCCTTTATGGCTTAGGTGGCAACCACTGGAGCACGCTGCTTTGTTTGTTATGATAATAATAACATAAGATAATATATAAACAAAGCACATGGCCTGGAAAAATAAAAAGCGCGCAAAATATTTGAATGGACCAACAGATGGATGACACGAGTTCATCCCTGTCCTCAAGCCTGTAAAAAAATACATGCGAATTTGAATCCCCAGCTAAAAGCGCAGGTTGGTCCAAAAATCTCCCTCAGGCCATAAAAATGACTTTCAAGGGCATGGTCGTGCTCGCCTCAACCTCCTGGACACAACCATGTCCATCATGTTCCTCAATTTTACCTGAAACAAAAGTCCCTAAAAACAACAACAAAACCCTAGCCATGGCGTTTTGCAAAACAGGTCATATGAATGAAATTAAATGATGCAAAAAGTTTGAAAATGTTCTTGTGATCATGAATGTGCCATTAGTTTGTTCAATAGGTGCCAAGATAATTCAAATCGAAACCAATAACAGGGGTGACTATCGTGCGACTTACAGTGCGTTAGGGAGTCTGAAAATGCTTGGTTTTGATCGAATTAGCTTGTGTGAATATCCAGGAAGCGATTGGAACAAGTCTCGATCCCTGAAACTGCCTCTAACCTGGGTTTTGATCTCAAGCCTTTTTGTGATTTTTCTCACTTTTGTTATGCCTCTTCCAACACTTGCCAACCCTTATTTTCGTGTGTTTAGATTCCTTATGTAAGGCTTAGTGTATTAGGTTAATAAAATTGATCCAAATCTTGCCCTATCAATGCTTGCATATTTGATTTGATCTCCATTCACAAACTTGCCAAATTTGCCTAATTCCAATCTTTTTGCACATGATTTGATTTGATACGAATTTGATGATGATAATTGCTGTATGTGGAGCCTAAAATAGCCAAAAGATCATGTGTTATCAAAGCTTTAGATTTTATATGATTTTATTTGATTTAAAATAAATAAATTCAAACAAAAATCAAATTAAATAATAAAAATGTGATGTGGACACATGGCTGAAGCTAGGGCACGTGGGAAATGATGCAAACTCAAATCAAGTGGAAAAGAATGGGCCCATTTGACAAAATTTGAAGTTTTGGGGATAGTTGACTTTTGGCAATTTTGCAAAAAAGTCCAACTTCAACAATGCATAACTTCTTCAATTTTGAACTTTTTGAAGTGTTATTATACTTTTTAGAAAGCTTGAGATGTCCTCTAACCAACCCTTTTGGTCTCATCTTATTTTGATATTCCATTATCAAGTTATAAGCTTTGGAAAAAAAGGTGTTTTTGTTGACTTTCAAAAATGACCTATAATGTCCAAATTCATAACTTCTTGTGAGTGCATTTTTTGATCTTGGGGTATGAATATGGATTATAGGGAATTGCATCCTATTCAAAATGAGATTTGTATGGGTAATTTCTCATAAAGTATGAGAAAGTTATGCTTGGTCAAAGTTGAGTTGACTTTTCCTACAAAACCCTAATTTAGCAACTTTTGAATCTTGATGAATTTTGAGCAATCCTTGATGAATCATGATCAACCCTTGATCAAATGATGAAATATACTTCAAAATGAGAATGTTGACAAAAAATCTTGAAGTTTGACTGTATATAGGTCACAGTTGACTTTTGCCCTAGCACAGTCGATTTTTGGACCTTTGAGCAATTGATTGAGCAAACTTCCTCTGCAAGGCTTGAAACTTGACATGGATGATCTTGAGAACATATTAGGACAATGGTGAGCACTTGGGGTTATTTGGAATCAAGGATCTTGATGCAACACAAAACCCTAATTTGGGGTAGACTGCCTTAGGAGATAGCTTGTCTGACCAATTCTTGGGCCATTTGGAGATTTTTCTTGCAATGTCTTGAGAAATATGGGAGGGCAAATTTTGGGGTACAACAACGTGGAATATGAAACTTCGCGCCGGGGAACCACAAACCGCCCCCTTCCTCGACGTCTACTCGCATAGACAATGATGGCCCTATTCCCTAGGTCGGCATTATGGTTTCCAAGAGTCGCGCCACGTGTCTAACTAACACGTCACCCCCTCCCCACAAAAGTTCCTCGAGCATTCCACGATCGCTGCACGGGGAAAATCACAAATCGAGAGATGCCTTTTCTCCCCGGTTGAAAGCCCCTGCGTCGCGCGAGCAAGTCTCGCGAAAGAGAGAATTTGAGTCAAGTCATAACTCCCGTACCAGGAGCAACGACTCGGGGGGCTCTTGTTCTGGGTTGGGCCTGCTTGTGGCCCAATCACCGGCGAGGCCCAATCCAAGCTTTACAATATACCATGATGAGCATTAGACTCCCCGGCACACCCCGATCATGAGTGGCTAGTCGAATTAGACTATGCCCACGAAGAGTGTCCCCGACGAGGGACGTCCCAAACGAGGAACATCCCAATTCAAGCCCTGCTCGAGCACCCTCCTCGTAGGGCAGACTCTCAACCTCTCCGAATATCTCGGAGTCCTCAGGGTCCCGAGAAGATCGCGTCTTCACCCTCCCTATTCTGTGGAGATCATCATCCAGGTAGGGGACCACGTGCAGGACCCCACTACTACACGTAGAACCTGACAGTCCCTTTGTTGGGTCTGTTTGGTCGGCCCAGTAAAGGGACCTTGGCCCAGCGCTGGGGGCTATAAATACCCTCTATTTCAAGAGGGTCAGATATTCATTTCATACGCACCAATATACTTGCTTGCCTGCTCATTCCGTCTCTCACTTTGTCATCGGAGTGTCTTGCAGGTACCCCTCATCTCCTTCAAATTCAATTCGAAGCCAGCTGTGACGGTCCAATTCTGATAAGGTACGATCAAATTCATATCCCCACCTTGCATTTGTGTATTTCAATGATGAGAAACCACCACTTCCATTTAGGGTAACCAAGGAAACATCTCTCGTAGATCTGATATCCAAACTGAATACTCTCATGCACTTTTCAAAAAATCACAGAGTTATCAAGCTCGAGTATCAGTCACCCTCGTTTGACGACAAAGGGGAGACACATTTCACCTACTTTCAACTGAAGACAAATGAAGATTTAAAGGTTATGTGGATTATTTTTCTCCATTATAAATCACATGATCCGATTAAAGTGGATACGGGGTTTCAAAGATCCGTTGAAGATATAATCATTATGTTGCAACGTGCTGGTTAAAACAATATGCAATGTTGAATTTATTTTAATGAATATATAAGTAATGCTGAGTGTTTTAATTTAATGTCAAGTTGGCGTTGGTGTTTGTTTCGTTTTTAATTTGATGATATTGTCATGTTTCTGATTTTTGTTTGGTTTATAGTACGAGGACATTTTCAGAGATACATATTCAAAATATACTCTCGCAGATACATCTCCGAATTAACCATTTGTTAAAGTTAAGAAATAATGTATTAGAAGATATATCTTCGAAAATAGAAGACATTTTTAACTTTTTTTCAGAGACCTGAGAAGAAGTAACAAAGTGTTAAAATAATTTCCTTAAAAAACATTATCTAAGTTGAGAAAACACTGAATAATATTAAAGTTCAGTCCATTCAAAATATGAAACTCAAATAATATAAATTCATTTATTAAGCTAAAAATAACCACAACAATATTTTTATTCGATAAATTAAAAAGTGCCTAAGGGTTATATGAAAAGAAAAAAAAATGCACTATCTAATGTAAAATAAATTTACATTGTCAATCGATTAAGACTATATATTTTGTCAAGTCATCATAATTTTTTTAAAGTTAATTGTGTAATATAGTTAATTGATCAATTTTTATTGAATAACTGTGTAAAACTATTTTATACAGTATCATCTTAACCTTTTAATAAATATATTATATATTTTTTTTAGAATTTAATTTATATGTACTTATAGTGTAAAATTATTTACTATCATCCAATAAAAAATTAATAAATATCTTGTCATTAAAATGATTTTAAAATTAAAATATAATTTATTTTAATATAAAATTATGATTAATTGACCGTGTAAAATTAATTTATAAGCCACACTATTTTTCTCTTTTTTTTATAAACAAATAAACAAAATGTATAAACCCTAAATTTGTTTTAAGAAAACTAAACCCTTGAAAACTTGTTCCATAGATGATGGCACCGTGAATAACGCCGGAAAAGAACCGTTAACGGCGGCAATGGATAGGATCGGAGCTTTACCCGACGAGGTCCTAACCCACATTCTCTCATTTGTTCCCACCACACAAGCCATAGTCACAAGCATTCTTTCAAAGAGATGGATTCATCTATGGCGTCACGTTCCCCTTCTTCATTTCAGCGACACAAGTCTGAAAAACCTAGCAGACAATTATCGCTTCAACGAATTCGTCTACAGCATTCTACTCTCTCGAGAAGCCGCCGGTAATCATTCCATCAACACTTTCTTCCTCGACATTGAATATTTTTACGCTAAACTCGCTTTTCGTCCTAGCAATCCCAATATCAAAAATTGGGTCGATTATGCAGTTGAACGCAAAGTTCAACATCTTGATCTCTATCTCGACGTTCTTCGTCATGTCGATAAGCATCGAAACTTCCCTAGACTGCCTGTTAGTGTATTCAATTGTAGAACCCTAGTTTCTCTCAAGCTTCATTGGTTTCATGTGGAGGAATATTTTTCCTTAGATTTTATTGGATTTCCGTCACTTAAAGTGCTTCATTTGAAAGAAATCTACTTCCATGAATATGAAGAATTTATTTTGCTTCTAGCTGGATGTCCTGTTCTTGAAGATTTACATGTATCTGATGTGAATTTCGGATGTTTGAAAATTCTTTTGGAGTTTGATAATGTCTTTAAAACCTCAAGCTTAAGCAATTTGACTAGCGTATATATTAGAGGCTGCTGTTTTGATTTTTGGTTGAAAGCACTTTCAAATTTGAAGTTTCTCAGTATAAACTTTTTGAAGGTATGTTTGATTCTATTATAGATTTGTTATGTATGCAAATGCCAAAAATGATAAAATTGTGAATCATCTTTATTTTAGGCTATGTTTGGATTAGTGGAATGTGATGGACACAAACTCTAACACAGACACGGCGACACGGACACTGACACTTTGACTCCGATATGTCAAAAACCTAGGACACTGACACCGGTATATATGTCATAGTATTTGAGTTTTATTTATTCATCTAATAACAAAAGAGTTAAAAATATTCTAATCAAAATTAATGTCTTAACCCTTCACTGATAACAGTGTGTATAAAGTCTGTTGAGGAAAAGAAAAACACAATTTTTTAAAGAAAACTTGTCTCAAGTATCGAACACGTTTTGTATGAGTGTGATATGGGTATTGGACACCGATTCAAAATGTGCCGAGGCAAAGAAAAAAATACAACACTTGTTTGACTTTTCGGATATGTGTCGTACGAGTGTCATACAAGTGTCGGAGACCGCGACACACTTACTTTTAGAGTTGTCTGTGCTTCATAGGTAGTAAATAATTGTATTTCATTGTTTGTATTTACAAATAATGGATGAAGTGGATTGAAAGATAATGATATTCATTTCATCCCATTCTCCTTAATTTGGAGTGTATGCAATGAGATGAGATAATTTGTTATGTTCTGCTCCGTCACTTTATAAATACTTAAACAATGGAGTAGAATCTATGTCCCATTCTGCTCCGTCCATCTACATTCCATTATGTTTCATTCTGATCCATTCTGGTCCATCAATGGATTTTGTCTTAATTTCTGATACTTTGTTTTTCGACATAATTTAGGGCGATCAGCATGATATTTTTCCTGTCTTCCATAATTTGACCCACTTGGAGCTTACTTATGATTGGTATAGAGTTGTGCAAGTGCTCCAACACTGCCCTAAACTTCAAAAGCTAGACTTTCATCAGGTTTGTTAGTTTTGAGAACCATGTTTGATTTATCTTTTCGTAACATACCTTGTGTTTTATTTTATTTGTGTTATTGACAGAAGTTACCAAGCAGTTCGGATGAGTACTTTATAGAAAATTGGGCAGACCTAGAATTTGTTCCAAAGTGCCTTTCATTAAACCTTACAAGTTGCACTCTTTGGGGCTTTTTACTCACCACCTTACAAGGTGAGTTAATGGTAGCAAGATATATTCTAAAGAATGCATCTGTTTTACAAACCATGATAATTTGGTGCATCGGGGAACGATCACCGGAATTAGAAAGAAATTTGTTCTCATGCCCTAGGGCCTCTGCAACATGCCAACTTTCATTTAATTGATTGGTCACCTGAATTAGAAAGAAATTTGTCCTCATGCCCTAGGGCCTCTGCAACATGTCAACTTTCATTTAATTGATATTATGTTGGATTGTTTCACTTCCATTAGCATCTGTTATTCAACTTTCGGATTTTGTTTTTTAAACTATGAGCTATATATGAATTTCATAGACTTTGTCTCGGTGCACAATGTATCTTTAAATGGTTTAGCTTGTACTTGCATGATCTTTATGAAGACTTGGTTATTGACATAGGTTACTAGCTGCACAATGGAATGATCAGTTAGTTATAGAGAGTATAGTTTAATAGGCAGACAAACTGCCACAAATCTACAATTCCACAAAATGCAGTAGTAGCGTGATTTGTCATTGGAGAGAAGCTTATTGATTAAAGTTGTAGCTGCATGTTAATTTTCAGGCATAAACGAGTAACTGAGAATGTAAGATCTCTGAGAGCTTAATTTGTTTTTCATTGTGATACACTCATTTAATTGCAATAGTTTCCTGATTGAAGAAGGAGTTGAAAAACAAACATGAGAAATACATGTCACCATTAGAACACAAAGACTAGAGAAGTGGTTCAAAGCTCCCTAGCTGATGAGATTTTGTAATATTTAGAGTCCATGGCCTCCATGCTTAAGAGTAATGAGTTATTGAGAACCATCAGAAGATCTTTAGCCAAACTTAGTGACAACAATCTAGCACTGCAACTATTCCACTGAGGCAGAAACTCTTTATGTTGCTTTAAAAGCCAAATTAGTTAATGCATAGTGTGCGAGAGGGAGAATGCAACAATTTGACAGATGGATGACAATGCTCGTAGGATGTATATTGTGTTTAGAAAGAACTTTGACAGTTGAGAAAAGAACCAAATTCAACTATTTTTTTCAATAACCAGTAGAGGGAGCAAATGAACAACTGATTCTGTCCAATACCAGATCTTTCTAATATTTTGGATTCAAAGCCTAAGGTTTCTTGGTCAAATTTTCAAAATTGCAAGTGTTGCTTGAAATGAGAGTGAAACTCTTTAAGTTATTATCTAGAGGTATATAACAGGCCAGGTTAAGAAAATAAATTCAAAGTAATATGAGAGTTAATGTTATGCAAATAATTGGATGAGAGAGCTTTTATTGTCATAAACTATGCAGCTGCTCACTTACACCTTTTCATTTTGCCATTAGGAAGAAGCTTAGTGGTTAAAATTTTGGCTGCGTTTCAGGGATATAAAGTATTCCCCGGGTCTAAGTATAAACAACAAGTTTAATTATGTTTGTGGGTAAAATATAAGTAAAATTTAACTAGTACTGAAATTATATTTTCTCATTATCATTGACTTTCAATCAATTTGGATTTAATTTGTTGAATAACTCTTTTATATTCACGGGGCAAGTTCCTATATGAGATAATTTAGAAAACACAATTTTTTTCTTCTAAATGGACAATAAAAAACAAAAATCACAATGACTTATGAAATCATCTAATTTTGACAGTTTACCTTCAAATGTGAACCTACATTATCTTGGAAAACGTTGAGTCTCATTTATATGAATAGATGCATTTTTTTTGACAGGGAGATGCATATTTTTAAAAAATAGAATAAAGGTATAAAACAAAATAAATAATAATTGCATTTTAAAAGGATTAACATTGTCTAGTCTTAGACGTGAGATGTGTTAAGAGTCTCATATCAAATAATATATAATATATGACATATCTCGAAAAAATTATAGTACCAAAATCTATACATTCTATAGCACAAACATTTGTACCTTTTATTTGTATTCTATGAAGTATGTTATATGTATATTTTTCTTAAAAATTAATTGAATAATTTTAAATAATTAACACCATTTAAAAAAATTTCAAAACTTTTATTCTTGAAATTTAGAAGGAAAAAAAACTTATATTAAAAAATATACAATAATTTAATAGTGACGTATTTTTAAAAATTGATAAATATTTATTATTATATAATAGATTTTTTTTTTAGAAATAACTAAGTATTGAAAAAAAAAAATACAAGTAACTATGTTTCGAGGAAAATTACGCAAATAACTATGTTTCAGAAAATGCCACAATGGAGAAGTCAAGTGAGATGGTGCATGCACCTAAAATTAGCCACTTGATTTTCCAATCGTGGTATATGTCGAATGTTAACCACTTCGAAATTCTTCAACAAACGCCTGGCTATTACGAAATACATGATAAGATTTTCTCTTATGCACTTGTATTCTTTCGTAACTTGTTTTAGGACTAACTCTGAGTCTCCCATTATTTCAACTCGAGTTGCCCCCAATTCCAACAAGATTTCAAGGCCTACGGTTAAAGCTTCATATTCAGTCTCATTATTCAAACAATCTCCTTTGATCTTGTACTTAAATGTTGTTGGAATTTTGTCTGGAGAAATAATTAGAACCCCCACTCCAGTTCCGTCTTTATGACTAGAACCGTCGAAGTATAACTTCCAAGGTTCAATCTCCAAATAATTTAGTGATTCTTTATTTATTGAGTGGTCGACTATAAAGTCTACTACCACTTGACCTTTTACAACCTTGACATGCATAAAGGTTAATGAATACTCAGTTAATGCAAGTGCCCATTTGCCAATTCTACTGTGCAAAATAGGTTTTGACAACATATATTTGAAAACATCAAAATGAGACGAAACGTAAACATCAACTGGTTTAATATATTGCTTGAGTTTTGTGCATGAGAAGTAAAGACATAAACATAGTTTTTCAACTTCGTTATATCTAGTTTCTACGTCATTTAAAACTCTACTGAGGTAGTAGATGGGTCTTTCGACACCATTCTCATCCTCTTGAGTTAACACGCTCCCTAAGGTTTTATCAGATGCAGCTATGTACAATCTCATACTTCTATTTCTATAAGGAGGTACCAGAATAGGTGGCTTGGTGAGGTACTCTTTGATTTTGTCGAAGGCCTCTTGTTGTTCTTGCCCCCATTCAAATCCTCCTTTGCTGAGTCGAAGTAGTGATGAGAAGGCTTGCGTTTTCCCAGTGAGGTTGGATATAAATCTCCTTAGGAAATTTATCTTCCCAAGTAAAGACTGCAATTCCTTCTTGTTGGTTGGCGCTTTGGCTTCCAAAATAGCTTTGGTCTTATTTTGGTTTATCTCGATTCCCTTTTTATGGACCACAAAGCCTAAGAAGTCCCCTGCTTTGACACCAAAAGCGCACTTTAGAGGATTCATTTTCAGACCATAGCGTCTCATCCCCTCAAAGGATTGTCGAAGATGGTCCATGTGAGCCTTCCCTGAAACAGATTTGACAACAATATCATCAATATAAATCTGCATAAAAGTCTCAATAAAATCATGGAAGATAGAATTCATTGTTCTTTGATATGTTGCCCCTGCGTTTTTTAGGCCAAAAGGCATCACTACCCATTCGTAAGTGCCTAAGGCCCCAGGGAAACGGAATGCTGTTTTTGACACATCCTCTTCAACAATAAAAACTTGATTATATCCAAAGTATCCGTCAAGCATACTCATGTACTCGAAACCAGCGACAGAATCGACAAGCATTTCCGCCACAGGTATTGGATATTCATCTTTGGGTGTTGCAGCATTCAGATCTCTAAAATCAATGCACACCCTTAAGGTACCATTTTTTCTTCCTAACAGGTACTATATTTGCAATCCATTCGACATACCTGGTCGTTCGGATGAACTTGCATTTCAGCAGTCTTCCGACTTTCGTTTTGATTTTCGATAGAATCTCCGGTGCAAAGCGCCTTGGAGTTTGCTTGACAAGCTTCTTTCCAGGTTTTGTTGGCAATTGTAGTTCCACCAAACTTCTGTCGAGACCAGGCATTTTGTCATAATCCCACGCAAAGCAATCTCTGAACTCTTTTAACAATTGGATCATTTCGACCCTGAGTCCTGGATCTATCTTTGCGCTGATATATGTTGGCTTTTTTACAGGACCTTCACCTAGATTTACTTCTTCTAAGGGGACTTATGCTAGCATTCTAACACTGTTCGCCAACATATCTTTTTCGAAACCTAGAGGTTCATCATTATAGATGGCGTCTAACCTCTGATTTCGTACTTCTTTTTCTTCCAAGTCAGGAGGTTTTGGGTCGAAATCCTTCCCAAAGCCTTCTTGGGAAGATACCTGTTCATTGGCTTCAAGAGCCATGTATTTGACTTCAGCCTCTAAGGCCGCTATCATTCTATTTTCGGCTACATATGCCGAAATCCTTTGTAGAGCCTGTGATTCAGTCATCATCACCAACCTCACTCCCCTAGCCTATTGGCCATATATCATCAACCCCTCCATAGTCGATGTTTGATAAATCCTCTATATCCCTCTGAAAACCATGATCAGAGTGTAGATAAAGAGAGCAGAAAGCATTAGGTGCTGGAGTCAGATCGAATTCAGGAGGGCTGCATGGTCCTATATGATCCAAATTCCCGTCGAAGCTATTTTTCCAATGTTGTTAACTTCACCCAGGTAGTAACTTTGATCATCCTCGATGTTCTCTACGATACCATCAGGGTGCCATATCGTAACCCTCTGATGCATCGAAGATGGCACTGCACCTATGCCATGTATCCACTCTCGACCCAAAAGCAGATTATAATTTGGTTTTGCTGAAATCACCATAAACATGGTAGGTCGAAGAATTAAGCCCACCTTGAGATCCAGTTGTATAACTCCCATGGTGGTTCCAATACCCCCTTCATAATTTGAGAGGACCATGTTGTGGGGCTTAATATCAGCATCCCCTTTTCCTACTTTTCTTAGCATAGATTGTGGAATTATATTTATGGTCGCCCCACAATCAACCAAGATTTTATTTATGGTCACTTCCCCTATCTTTGCTCTGATAAATAGGGGCTTGAGGTGATTTTTCATCGCCTCAGTAGGTGGCTCAAAGAAAGCGTTCTGCTCCTCAACACAACCATTATTCATCACATAGTAACACATTGGCCTATGTCTAGCCATTTCTTGTTCGACCATCTAGTCGGTTTCTTCAACTTCGATTTGACGGTTGTACTCCCTAGGCAGCACTGATATGACGTTTACCATAATGTCTAAAGTATCGTCAGATT